CTGAAGCCAGTGCCATGACCTTGAACCTCCAGAACTGTGGCTAAATGAACCACTTTTCTTTATAAAGTTAACCTGCCTCAGGTAGTTCATTATAGCAATGAAAAAATACTAATAGAATATGTGTGACAAATACACAAAGATGGGAATGTTACTACAATTTATATTGGAAAAATACCTCAAAGGGGTTGTGGTGGACGAGAACTCTGACAGCTGCTGTTCTCCCCATTGAGGAAGCTCAAATAAATACTTTGGTTAAGTATTTTCCTTTGGGTCCTGGGTAAGTCTCTGTGGCAGAGTTGGCTTCATTCTGGATCCTGCCCTGAACTGGGCATGAAGATTAGCCGGTTTCACCCGGCTGTGCCCTCCAGTTACACCACTCCCTGACCAGCTCCACTTCCCATTTCCTGGTTGCAGCCCCTGTGTCCATCACCCAAGTTGGCTGCCTGTGGGGTGCGGGAGCAGGAAAGGAGCAAGCCACAGAGCAAGACATAGGAGACTAATGTAACACAGGTGTCATTCAACGTCACAGACTTAACTGGAAGAAATTTTAGTGGTCATCTGGGTCACTTGATTTCAACCTCATTAGGTCCCCAGATTCTTTGAGAATCAGAAGAAAGTGGTTGAACCCTCTAGAGAGATACACCTTCCTCAAACCCATCCAGCTAAACTCAGCTTGCCCTATTACTCTCGGAGGTAGGGATTGAACCCAGGTCCTCATACATGCCAGGCAAGTGCTCTACCTCTGAGCTATGTCCCCAATCCATAGACTAAGCTTTTTATTTGACAGACATGGATATAAAAACCCAAAGAAGATGCAGGACTTGGCTAAGATTACACAGAGAAGATAAGTGAATTCAAACTCTGCTCTCTCGATTTCCAGTGTAGGATCCATCAGCCCCATGCTAGCAGGTTTCCACTCTGTGTCGAGCCCTATATTGAGAATTATGGAAAATTATAGTGCTTACCAATAAGGAAATGGAGCTCAAACCAAGATCAAGAAGTAAGCAATATTCCTGCTTTGGGAAGCTGAAGAAAAATGCCTTCCACTCTTCAACTATTTATTGAGCACCTATGAGCAACTCCTAAAAATCTCAAATAACTAGGAGATTCATAATTTATTGGAGATTTAGACTCTGTAATCTCACACCCGAAGAGGATGTTGAGGTCCTCAAAGTGATTGTGTGTATGTGTGACTTTGTTCAGGTGATGGAAACCCTACCCTGAAGTGGTCTCTGCAGAGTTTAACTAATGCAACTTTCCCTTGCCTGGAGTCTCATGGACTTTGGCACAAATTAAGATCATATTAACAAAGGAGACCAGGGTTGTCCAGAGGTGGTGCCTAAGTAGAGTCAGCTGCAACCTTAGTTGTTCAAAAAGGAAGAAGAAGAACGCCAAGTCTTAGGGCCACGCTAAGCAATGGCTGCCCGGGATATATATTTTATAAGTAGCAGGAAGAGAACCAGATTCAGATGTCATCATTCTAGAAAAAAAGAAGGAAAATCATGGTAGACTATTTGTCTCCTCAGTTGGATGCTAAGAGAAAGCCTTTTATCATGGAGGAGCCTGGTTCTGGAGCCTGGATCCTGGGGACTCCCCTCCATTCTGAGCTTCTCCTGGCTCATCTCCCTAGCTTGTCAGCGTTTTCTTTTGCAGAATGTACTTTATTCTGTCTTTAAAAAAAAAAAAAAAAGACCAGGGATTGAACCCAGAGGTGCTTAACCACTGAGCACATCCCTAGCCCTTTTTATACTTTATTTTGAGACAGAGTCTCACTAAGTTGCTTAGGAGCTCACTAAGTTGCTGAGGCTGGCTTTGAACTTGTGATCCTCCTGCCTAGGCTCCCTAGTCACTGGGATTACGGCATGTGCCACTGCACCCAGACTGTCTCTCCCACATGGTGGTAACTTTTTAAGGGGAGGAACTCAGCCCTCCCTGTCTTTCTAGTCCTTAAAGCCTAGGACGGCACTTGTATGCAATGAGTGTATCAATCAGGGCCCAATCAGGAGACAGAGGCCACACAATAATTTGAACAGAAGGAAGGAATATAAGGAATTATTTACTTTTGATGGGAGCAGTTCTAAAGATGTCAAGAGAAGGGTGCTGTCTAGCTAAGAGATTACCTAAGGAAGGACCCAGGTGGAAGGTGCCCCTTCCCATGGCCGGGGCATCACTGGAGAGGTGCGGTTGTCACCCACAGGATGGGGGAGAAGTTCACCAGGTTGCCTGAATCCGAGCTGGTTCATACTCACTGACAGCAAAAAGCTTTCCCAGGCATGGGCAAGGTGAGGCTGGTGGACAGGTGTGTGGAGGAAGTCAGGGCACTGTGCCAGTGCAAGGCCTGAAGGGCACCGTGCCTGCATCAGGAGGGCCATGGTCAGCTGGTTCCCGGAACCAGGTCAGGCTGCAGGGTCACCGGCTAACTCTGCCCTCCAGACACACACCTGGGGCAGAGTATCACTGATTATCCCCACTCCCAGACCCCACAGCCTCCAGGATCCAAACCTGAAGAGTCCCCTTCTCCCTGCAGTGTCCCTCCAGTGCCCTCTACTGACAAGGCTTATGGTGATATGCACTCTAGAGGGGAGAGAGCATTAGGAGGTTCCAGTTGGTTATGTCAGAGCAGAGATTGAAAGTGGATTTAGACCTGAGAGGTCTAAATATACCTGTGACCACCGGAATAATGGGTAACAAAAAAAGTTTGAATTAAATTAGGTAAAAGCTGTCAACACCCCCACCCCAACATCTGATTATTTCCCTTTCTTTGAATCCCATCATTTTGGGGGGTTTGTTTTTGTTTTTTCCTAGTACTGAGGATTTAACCCAGGGGCACTCTACGTCTGAGCTATATCCCAACCCTT